TCGCCGCCGCGGCCGCGGCCGCCGCCGCCGCCGCCGCCGCCGCCGCCGCCGCCGCCGCCGCCGCCGCCGCCGCCTCGCCCCGCGGCGCTCAGCTCCTCGAGCGGCACTCCCGCCTGTGAAGAACGAAACCCGAGTGCCACAAAGAAATACAGGCGGGTCCTCGAGCGGGGTTCCCGCCTCGACCGCGGCGACGTAGAGCTGCGCGTCCTCGCCGCCGCGGAGGAAGGCGTAGCCCGTCTCCCGGCCGCGCCTCCGCCGCAGCTTCGCCTGAGAGCAGTCACGCTCCCCGCGCTTCAGCAGCCGTGTCCCCCGCCTCTAGAGTCGTGTCCTCCGCGCCTCTGGAGAGAGAGTGAGGGCTCAGCAGCCGTGTCCTCCGCCTCTAGAGTCGTGTCCTCCGCCTCTGGAGAGAGAGTGAGGGCTCAGCAGCCGTGTCCTCCGCCTCTGGAGCGAGGGAGGGCTCTCGCCTCGAAGTGCAGCCCGTGTGCGAGCCGGTACGTCGCCGCCTGAGAAGGAGGGGAGGGGGGGGGAGCGCCCTCGTAATCGGTGGGTCCAGTCATCCCCGTGCCGTCGCCGGAGTGCGGCCGCCTTGCCAATCAGCAGCCTACGAGGCAGCGGCAGCCGCCACCACGCCTCCGCGAGCAGCGGCGACTCCTCCTCGGCCAAGCGCGACCACAGCTCCCACTCACTCGCCCACTGCCGCTCCAGCCACGCCAAACGGCCCGCAGCCTCGACGCGCCCACTCAACGCCGCCACGGCAGCGGCGGCGGCCGCCGCCTTTCCTGATGCTGGCGCCGGCGTCGCCGTCGCGGCGGCGGCGGTGGCCAGAGACGCCGTCGCCGCCGGGAGAGACTCGCGGACGGCGGCAGCGGCGTCTTTCGAGGCTGCGATGGCGGCCTCCTTTGCGGCGTTGAAGGAGGCGTGCGCGCGCCGGAGGAGGCCGGGCAGGCCGCGGGCGGCGGCGAGCACGCCCTTCTGCGTCGCGGCGCTCAGCGGGGCCGCGGTCAGGACCTCGAGGACGCCTAGGTCTCGGGGGGCCGCTCGCCTGATCTCGCCTGATCTCGGGCAACTCCTTCCGGGGGAATGCGGCGGGAGACGGCGGAGTGGGAAGAGCTTCCTCCTTCCGCTCCCCCCCCCCGCAACGCGAGACACAACAGTGGTATGCAGCCACCCGGAGGGGGTGAGATACGGTCAGATATGGGGAGACCGTCAAGAGAGCGTCAAAGAGTCGTGCACTGTAGGGCTAGTGCGAGCGCCGAGCGGCCGGAGGAGCGCGCTGTCTCGCTCCCCCCCGGCGCCCGAAGCCTCCTCCGCCACCAGAGCCAGCAAGAGCCCGCCGGCCGCGCAGCCGAGCCGCCTCCGCGCCGCGACACCAAACTGCGAGTCGAGGAACTTTGCGTCGTTGATCACGAGCGACGGCCGTCCGGAGCGCAGCAGCGAGCGGGTGGCGGCGAGGGCCTCGTCGTCTCGCAGCGGCGCGTGCGTCCCCCCCCCCGACCGTACGGCGAGCTGATCGCCGCACGCGCCGACGCCGGTGACGAAGGTGAAGAGCGCCGCCTGGGGCGCAGCACCCATGCTTCTGCTGTACTTGCATGCTGATGTGTTCTTCTCATCGGGCTCTTCACCTTCGTGGCGCCGCCCCCGCCCCCGCCCCGCCCCACCAGCCGCGGCAGCCGCTCGAGGAGCGCGTCGACCAGCTCGCCAGGCCGGAGGAGGCCGAGCCGCTCGAGCTCGTCGAGAAGCGCCTCCGAGTGATACAGCAACACTTGATTAATTCACATGGCGAAGCTCGAGCAGCTCGTCGAGAAAGCTCCGAGAAACCTCCGAGCGAGTCGTGCCGTCCGGGTCGGCGGGGCGGCGCGAGGTGACCTCCTCCGCCGCAGCCTCGTCCTGCTCCTCGTCCCCGAACGGCTTCTGCTGCACGCTCCACTCGGTCAGCTCCTCGCGCGGCGCCTCCTGCTCTTCCGCCGCCTCCTCCGCCGCCTCCTCCTCCGCCGCCTCTGCCGCCTGCGCCTCTGGCCGATCGAACTCGGCGGCGGCCCGCTGCTCCTTGGGCTGCATCTCAGCTGGCGGCACGAACGCGGCGCCGGCGCCGGCGCCGGAGACAGCCGCAGCCATAGCCACGGCTCCGGCCGCGGCGGCGGCGGAGCACGCGCTCCACTGCTGCGCTGCGTAGGCCGGATGCTGCGCATGGTGCTGCGCGGCGGCGGGGCTCTGGCCGTACGGGTGTGGCGCGGCCGCGTACTGTTGGCCGTAGCCGAGGTACTGCGGCGTGGGAGGATGCTGGTAGCTGGGCGGCATCGCCCCATACCCCGGCATCGCCCGGCACCCTCCTCCGTGTTGGTTGTAGCCGTATGCGCGAGCGTGCGGCGGCGGCGGCTGCTGCCACTGAGGGTGCTGCTGGTGCATTGCGTGGTGGTTGGCACATGGCGGAGCGCGTTGTTGCTGCGGCCAGTGCGGCCTTTGCATGGTTGCAGGCCCCGGGCGAAGTCAGCGGCTGGGGCGAAGGCGGCTGGCAGCGGCAACGGGGCCGAAAGAATTTTACCACGCAAAGAATTTCGACTGCGTGCGCACGCTAAATCGCGTCGCACGGTATAGGCGACGAAATTGCTAGAGGCGGAGCAAGCCTGCTCTAGTCTCACACGTTCGCCCCTGTCGCCTGTCTGTGTTGTTGTGCTGTTGTTTGTCTCTTGGCACCTTGGAGTGCTGGGGGGGGCGACAGGGGGGACGTGGCCTGAGTGATGTGTACGCCCACTCAGGATGTGTGGCAGCCCGCTGGCTGTGTGTCTTGTGAGCTTGTTTGTGTCTGTGTGTCGCTCGTGCGTGTCGTCATCATCTGTCCAGCGTCCACCCATACCGCGTCGGTGTCCAGTCCGAGCCTGACTGTTCTTCATTCACCTTCCTACATACATACATATAGGTCGGAGGATGGAGGATGTAGTCTTGCGCTGCGCGGGGCGTGAAGACCACGCGGAACTGCACCTCGACGCCGGGCGCCACTTTCCCGCCGGCCGAGCCCCTCGCACGTGACCGGCCCCCCGACCCCCTCGCGTGAGACTTAGCGGAGCCGTAGGTGCCACAGCCCACATATCATATGCACATGCCCGATGCACATGCACGGACTACACACACACTCATAGCATGCGCTTTACCGAACCAAAGGGGCTATAAGCACCCTCCAGCTTGAGCAGCGGGCGGTACTCTGTGGAGACCAGCCGCACGCAGCGGCGCGCGGCCGACGCCACATGCTCTGCCAGGCGGGCATCCGCAGCCGGCGGGGGGGCGATAAGCATCTCCAGTAGGTTGCGCTCCTCGGCCGGGTCGCGGTCTATGTGGTAGAGGCTCGCCAGGCCGAGGCGCGTGCAGCTCGTGCCATTGAGGAGCTTCAGCTCGTTCAGCTCCGCGGCGGTGAAGAGCCGCAGCGGCAACCCGGCTATGCCGCTGCTGTTGCACGCCGGCCGCTCCCGCTCGACGCCGGTCAGCTTCCACGGGCCGACGCGCACGACCATCTTTCGCCAACTCGTACTCGACCAGAAGAGAGGCTTCCGGTGCGGCAGCGCACCGGTGCGTCCGAGCCAGTGCGGCAGCACGTCCACTCCGTCCCCGCCCCAGCGGCGCCCCGACGCCGCAACCTTTGCGAGGCGCAGCACGGTCGGCAGCCAGTCCACGTTGGAGATGACCGACGCCCCGTCGACCCGGCCGGGTGGTACGCCCCCGTTCGGCCAGCGCAGCACATACGGCAGCCGGATGCCGCCTTCAAGTGTGCTGGTCTTGTAGCCCCGCGCGAGGCCCGTGTACCCCATCTCCCCCGCGAGCTTCTTCTCCGGACCGTGATCGCTCGTAAAGAGCGTGACTGTGTCGTTGGTGCGTTTGAGCGCGTCGAGCGCGGCGAAGAGCCGGCCCATCCCTCGGTCCATGCCATAGAGCTCGCCCAAGTACGCCGCGAGCCCCTCCTCGACCAGCCCCTCCGACTTGCCCTTCTCGACGGCGGCGGAGCAGGGTATGGAGTGCTCTCGCCCGTGCCCCGCAATTTGCCCCGCACCGTGCCGTCTCTCAGGGGAGCCCGTCCCATTCGCCCGCTCCGTGCGCCGCCCCAACATCGACCAGCCGAAGCACTCCTTGCGGTGCCGGCGGATCTTCTCCTGCATCCCCGGCCTATAGAGAGTGTGACAAGGGTGCATGAGGATTCGGGCTTTTCGTGATCCATCTGAGCGCCGCAGGGGTACGCGTCATCTTCTCATGCATCTAGGCCGTCTGCCCGAACCGCGTCTCGTCGAGGCCCTTGAGCTGTGGCAGCAGCCGCTTCGCCAGCCACGACCACCGCCGCGGGACCGGTCTGTGTGGCGTGACCGGCCACACGTGTAGATAGAAGGGGCGGCGGGGGGCCACGCGTTCCGTGCGGTGAAGCCACGCGATCGCTGCCGTAAAGAACGCGTCGTCTCGGCCCCACCACGTCTGATGCGCCTCGCTAAGAGCTCTTCCAGCCTGCGGCGCAGGCTGGGTGGCGTCGCCGCACGTGGCGTTGTTCTTCGACCCGTTCCACGCGCAGCGACGCGGTTCGAGGCGGCACGCACTGCTGCTGCGGAGCGACGCACAAGGGAGCTGCAGCGGCTTTCCTGACCCCTGAATCGTCTCGAAGCCGTACGTACCGGCGGGCGGGTACAGATCTTTTCCCATGGGGCTGACAGTGTCGGAGCCGATGTTCCACTTGCCAAAGCTCGCCGTCCGGTATCCCGCCTGCTGCAGCAACCCAGCAACGGTTGGACGGCGCCCCAAGCCCACCACCGCCGGATCTCCCAGGGTCGTGCGAACCGGCCAGAGCCCAGTCATGAGCGATCCCGTCATGATGCGCCCTGACGCTCTACACACAAAGGCACAACCCCAAGAACAGTCGAGCACAGATCCCCAAGACATGTCGGAAGGAAGGCAGCACTGGGTCCCAGGAGGGCGGGCGTGATTACTCCCACAACTCTTAGGCGTGTACGAGTATTTGGAGGAGGAGGGAGAGCGGCGGCTGCAGATCAACGCGCAAAACTGCAAACCACCCGAAGGGCAGCGCGGCGCCCGCCCCCTGCCGCGCCTCTTCACACCTCCAACCGTGAACAGGCATCCACTGCAAGACGTGCGACATCAAGTGCCCCTCGCAGAACATCGACTGGGTCGTGCCCGAGGGGGGCGGCGGGCCGGCGTACGCCGGCATGTGAGCGAGGCGGCCAGGGGGTAGCGCGGAGACGCATCATGGAGGGCGGGCGGCGGCGGTGGG